GAGGTGCATTTTAAAAGTTCATTTGAAATTCCCGGTTAATTTACTGATGACGATCTGATTCCTTGACATGTGCTAGTACCAGTTTACTCTAGAAATGAATGAACGAACTGTAGAGGGGTTATTTATCCCACTGTTGGGATGGTACCCTCGCCCTTCAAAATGGAATCTGCGCAGCGTGCCATTTTTTAGCGTCTGCACCCATCCGTTGCGCATTACAAAGGCATAGTAAATGCGCTGGGACTTGACTTATTTTATTATGCGTTTTTTGCAACTATGCAATACGGAAAGCGCCTCTTGACTAGAGGTTGTCTGTGTTTGTGTGTGTGTGTGTGCCGCGCGTCTGTACCGATTTTTCATCTCGAGATCTGCAAAAGCTACGGGGCTTAAGCTTCGAGAGCTTAATCTACGTGCACGTACGGGCCCGCATCCCCAAAGTGGGCGGTCTTACCCGCGTGGTACCACGTAAGAGCCCGTCAAAATTTTTTGCGTGTAAGCTGCTAACTCGGGAGCCAGAAGTGCTTGGGGGCTGGAATTTTAAGGGGATGATCCTCCTCCAAGTAGGTATTAATGAGCTCCAACCCAGCTCCCAAGTAAGCGTGGTACCCGCGTGCGGCCTGCCAAAATTTTTTTCGGGAAAGTTGATAACTCTGGGATCTGAGAAGCTAGAAAGTTGAAGTCTTAAGAGGATATTCCCCGCCCAAGTAGGTATTAATGAGCTCAAACCTAGTCCCTGTTTAAGCGTGATACACAGTTATGGGCCCGTGAAATTTTTTTTGGGTAGGTTGTTAACTCAGGGGTCTGAAAAGCTAGAAGGCTGAAATCTTAAGGAGGTATTCACCGTCCAAGTAGGTATTAATTTGCTTAAATCCCGCGTGGTATCCACATACGGACACGCCAAAGTTTTTTCGGATAAGTTGATAACTTCGGGAATCAGAAAAGCTAGAAAGCTGAAAATTTACGGGGTCGTTCTTCGTCCACCTAAGCGGGGTCGTTCTCCGTCCACCTAAGGAAAGTTAGAAAGCTGAAATTTTAAGTAAGTGTTTCCTGCCAGCTCTGGCGGCCAGTCTTAATTTGTTTAGCTAGAAGCATTTGCCGAAAAAATCGATGCCGGTAGCGACAAAAACTACTGGGAACTATGCAAAAAACGCATCTTTGTGCGGGCAGCCCATGCGTTGACCAATTATTCCTGTCTTGCAGTAGTTGAATTATTGCGCGCCCTTCCTTTGTTCCGATGGCTTGATAATCACATTTTGTTCGGTTTTCATTTGCTGTGGTAGAGTGTTGCAGAAAAATACGCTTCTGCCGAACAGATGCGTAAAAAATACTCCCAAAAAATGATTATTTGCTTTGTTCAGGTGTTACGCTGCCGTCACTGAGCAGCGACCGAAGTGCACGGCATGCTGCTAGGCAAGACGATGCTTCGAGTGAGTGGGGTAGTGAAGATGAAGAGTCGCGGCGCGAGTGGCATTCTTTGATCGACCGTTTCAGGAGGCAGATCATAACAGGAAGAGGCAGAGGCCAAACTGCCGAACGAGACATTAACCGTGAACAGTCTAGCAGTGTTCGGCGAAGTGGTGCGCGAACCGCGTGGAATAGTGTTGTACAGAACGTTCGCGCTGAAGAAAACGAAGACGAACTACGGCGGAGTAGACGGAGTGGCATCGGAGAAAACCTCTTTCCCGCAAGATTTGTACCTGGACGAGAAGATGCCCAGCGGCGATCGAGCATCGTTGAAGAAAGTGTTCCGCACGGACTTGGACAAAGCATTGGCCGCAGTTCGGCGAGCTTCTCTCGACGAACGCGGCCGGAAGGCAATGGCCAGATGGAGGGTGCGATTTTCTCACATGGGGTATTACAGATAGAACCCGGACTTGACTAATGATGTTGTGATCGTTGGTCGCTGTTGTCTGCATCCTCTTCACTGAATCACTGCGAAATTGTTATTTATTGCTTTGCATATGGTAGTTAGAGCGCTGC